CTTACAAATCAAAAACAATCTCAATCGACTCACAAAACTCTCCACCCAAAGTATCACTGAGTACATGCGATCCATCAAAACCCTCACCGACCAATTATCTATCATGGGGAAACCCATGGACCATGAAGACATTATCGCCAAAGTTTTGAGAGGTCTGGACTATGAAGCATACAAACCGGTCATTGATGCTACTAATGGGCGAGATACAACCATTTCCTTTGAAGAACTCCATGAAATACTCATTACACATGAACTTACCATTAACCAAAACAACATCAATCCTTACCCCGCTTTTGTCCATGCTGCCTACAAAACCCACAATCCACGCAATCATAACCAACCTCGCACACCATATACACCTGGACTTCTTCCAACTCCTACAAATATGTCAAACCGGGCTTCAAAACCCTTCCTTGGAAAGTGTCAGTTTTGTCGCATCCTAGGTCATGTTGTCTCAAAATGTCACACTTTCAAACGTACTTATCCTCAAGTTGTTTTCCCTACTACACCAATACCATCATCAAGTCGACCTCATGCTCCTCAAGCACATGTTGCCACAGTTACTACACCACTCTCGTCCTTGTGGCTTCTCGACAGTGGTGCCACTCATCATGTCACCAATGATCTTGCAAACCTATCTCTTCATGCACCATATGATGGATCTGATGAGCTAATCATTGGGGATGGATTTGCTCTTCCCATTTCTCACACTAGTTCCTTCTCTATCTCTACTTCAACTCAGACCTTTATATTCAAAAATGTTTTATATGTTCCATCTATCTCTCGATACATTCTCTTTATCTCACAATTATGTCATGATAACTCTACATCAGTTGAATTCTTACCCTTTACTTTCCTTATTAAGGCACTTTCAACGGGGCAAACTCTTCTCACGGGACAGCCTAAAAGTGGAGTTTATGACTAGAAAACGCCTTCTCCAACACTTTTCTCAAGCTTTGCTAAATCATGTCGTGACTGTCATCATCGCCTTGGTCACCCATCTATCGCTGTTATCAAGCATCTCAATTCACAATTTCCATTACATTACCTCAATCAAGTTGTAATTCTTGCAATATTAATAAAAGCCATAAGCTACCATTTTCTCAATCAACTCTAGTTACACATTCACCTTTAGAATTAATATTTTCTGATGTGTGGACAGCTCCAGTCCAGTCTTATGAAAACTTCAAATACTATGTCATCTTTGTTGATCACTACACTAAATACATATGGTTTTACCCTTTACAACGAAAATCCGATACACAATCAATATTTCTTCGCTTCAAAGCATTAGTAGAAAAATTCTTTAATAAACCCATACTCCAATTGTTTTCGGATAATGGTGGAGAATACCTTAAACTCGACCCCACTCTTCACTCTACTGGAATATCTCATCTCACCTCCCCACCACACACACCAGAACATAATGGTTATGCAGAACGATGACACCGTCACATTGTAGAAACAGACCTTACACTTCTCTCTCATGCTTGTATTCCAACCACCCATTGGCCTCATGCTTTTGCCACAGCTACATACCTGATCAACCGCCTTCCTACACCTACACTACAATATCAATCTCCATATCTCAAACTCTTCCAACATCCTCCTAACTACTCTAAACTAAGGAATTTTGGATGTTTATGTTATCCATGGTTACGTCCTTATTGTCACCACAAAATGGAGCCAAGATCTACTCCTTGCATTTTTGTTGGTTATTCATCATCTCAAAGTGCATATTATTGTTTAGATCCAACCATAAACAAAGTGTATGTATCACGCCATGTAAAATCCATTGAAAATGAATTTCCCTTTTCTTCCTTATCAAAGTCCAATGCAATAACAACCTCCTCCATAGACTCTTGGTGCACCATGCCTCTTCCCTTTACTCCTCCTCTTCCAAATCAACCTTTACCCACCATTAATTCCCCTCTTCCTTCCTCCTTTACACAAACATCTCCTACCCCCTCAACACCTACCCCTCCTATATCAGCCCCTGTGTCACCTTCCACAACATCATCTAACCAATCACCATTCCCTCCTCCTCCTCCTCTTCCACCTTATCGCACCATCATCACACGACTCTAAAACAATATTACCAAACCTAACCCAAAGTATGCTCTCACTGCCAAACAAACATCCTCTATTACCCCTACGAAACCCATCAGTGCCACACAAGCACTCAAAATTCCGATTTGGCATGCAGCCATGCAAGCTGAATTTGATGCTCTAACTTCCAATAAAACATGGCATCTTGTTCCCCCTCACCCATCTCAAAACGTTATCGGTTGCAAATGAATATTTTGGACCAAATACAAACCTGATGGTTCTGTTGAACGTCACAAAGCCCGCCTTGTTGCCAAGGGATTTCACCAACGCCCTGGCATTGACTACTTTGACACCTTTAGCCCCGTTGTAAAGCCGACTACAGTTCGAACCATACTCTCCCTTGCCACTAACCAGACATGGTCATTACGACAACTCGGCATTAATAATGCATTCCTTCAAGGTGCTATCTCTGAAACCGTTTACATGGCTCAACCTACTGGATTCAAGGATAAAGATCATCCTGACTATGTTTGCAAGTTATCCAAGGCCATCTATGGCCTCAAACAGGCACCACGGGTATGGTACAATGAACTCAAAAACTACTTACTCACATATGGATTCCTCAACTCATTAGCTGACCCTTCCCTCTTCATATATAGTCATGGCTCAACACTTATTTATCTTCTTGTCTATGTTGACGACATCATTGTCACGGGCCCTTTAGTTTCTCAACTCAATAGTTTCATCTCCACTCTTTCTACACGCTTCTCTCTAAAAGACTTGGGTTCCCTTTCCTACTTCCTTGGTGTTGAGGTCATTCCTAACAAACATGGTCTTTTTCTAAACCAAACCAAATACATTAACGACATCCTCATCCGGTACAAAATTTTTGATTCAAAATATGTTCCCACTCCTATGGCTGTCTATCCTCAACTTTCCCAGGAAATGGGGTCCATTCTCCAAAACCCCACTGAATATCATGCATTGGTTGGTAGCCTTCAATACCTCTCTCTTACACGTCCTGATGTAGCATATGCTGTAAACAAACTCTCTCAGTACCTTCATCAACCCACCGATGTTCACTGGACTGCACTAAAATGTTTGCTTCGTTATCTCAATGGTACCTCATCTCATGGTATCCAACTTCATTGCAATTCTCCCCTTACTTTACATGCTTTTACTGATGCTGATTGGACACGTGACACAGATAATTACCTCTCCACTACTGGAAACATCGTGTATTTAGGCCGTAATCCCATCTCCTGGAGCTCCAAGAAACAACGAGCTATTGCTCGATCCTCTACTGAAGCCGAGTTCCGAGTTGTAGCCTCAACCACAGCTAAAATTATCTGGTTACGTTCTCTTCTCAATGAACTTGGTCTATCTGAGAACACTTGTCCAACCATCTACTGTGACAATCTCGGTGCAACACACTACTCAGCAAATCCCATCTTCCACTCTCGTATGAAGCACCTTGCCCTGGCATTCCACTTTGTACGTGAGCAAATTCAACTTAGCACACTTCGGGTACAACACATATCAGGTGATGATCAACTAGCCGATGCCTTGACAAAACCTCTTCCCAAACATCGATTCAGCTCTCTGGTTTCCAAGATTGGCCTTACCCACAGGCCGTCCATCTTGCGGGGCATGATAAGGAGAAATATCCTCCTCAATCTTCCCCTGTATAAAAGTGATTCTGCATATATTCTATACTGATATAATTGCTTATGTATATTTGTTTGTTATTTAGTTTCCTAAGTTTAGTGGAATCTCCTTAATTGCAAATATCCTCTGTAATATATGTGTAATATACATTGGGCTGTTCTTAGCTATTTAAAAGCCATTTCCCCTGTTAATGAATGTATCATCTTATTCTCAACCCTTTCAGTTACCACAAAAAATGAAGAAATTCCACAATGGTGAACATCGGAGGAAGAGTACGCTTTAGTGGTAGCATGGCGTGAGACATCGAAAAATGAAAGTCAAGGAATTGGTATGAAGAGATGTGCTTTTTAGGAAGCGGCGCTCAGCAAATTTCACAGTATCTTGAAAAAAAATCATACCACAATACAGATATGCTAAGTAGTAAATTGACTCAAATGAATAGGAGGTACAAAAAATTCAATAGGATCTATAAAAAGCTTTGTTTGGAAAAGCAGAGAGGTTGCAAGGACTTCGAGTTGTTTAAATCCACAATTGAGCAATATTGAGTTAAAATGAGTGATACGTTTGAGTTTGAGAGAGCATGAGAGATGCTGAGAAGAGATCCAAAATGTACTCAAACTCCAACATCGACGGATGTGCAATCTAAGAGGTCTCGAAATCCGAGTTTGGTTGACGTTTTTGACGCAAGGACTCACATCGACCTCAACGTCGACACCTATGAGATTACGTACGACATCGAAGAGATCCCTTCCACGACGATCGGTAGGACACGATAAAACGAAGCGCGCTACAAATATGCAGAGGAAGTTGACAGAAAATCAAAGCATATTGCGGGAATTGAAGTGAAGTTCCAAAATCACAATATAATTCAAAAGAAAAAATGATTTGCGACATGAGCCTTTAGATTTCCTTTGTAGTCAAGCAGTAGCCAAGAAGCAGTGACGCGAACGAGAAGAAACATTGAATGACTTGGCAATTCTTAGGACTATCATGGAAAGTTTGGAGCACGAAGATGCAGATGTGGTATAAGCGATGAAGGCGAAAATTCGTGAAAGATATTGACAAAGCTTAAATTTTAGGATCGTTTTTATGTTTTAAATATATCATTTTTTTGGTCTTGTAATATTTTTTTTCAATTCAAAGTTTATGTTTTATTAAATAGTATGTTTAATTTAAAAAGTATGTTTTATAAGATTACATTTGTTTTTATAATTAATTTGAAAAAAAAAAAGACATGAAAACTATTTAGTGCTATAACACTATCATAATTTTCTACATGAGAAATTCTATTCGTATCCCCCAAATTGCCAAGAAGCAGTGCCGCGGTGTCCCCATGGCATTCCGAGCTCCACGTAGGAGGTGAGTGACTGAGTGCCGCACCATTCCATTTGGCCTTAGAAGTAGCTCTTGGTTAATGGCGTAAGTTTCTTGTCAACTTATTGTTATTGTAAGAGTTTGATTTTGATTGTTTATTAAGTTATTAATCAGTTGGTTTTGCTAAACAAAAGTTATCGCTGTTGCCATTTGTTGAAAATATTTGATTATATCGTTGTATGCAACAGTAAATTGGGAGGAATGAAGAATCGAATGAAGAAGCAGAAGAAGAGACAGAGACCTTCAACGTCTAGATCTCAAAACCCCAACCCTTCACGTGGTCAAATTGATGATCACTCCAGGGTTTTGAATGGTGTTGAAGAAGGAACTTCTTCGGTTTCCATACAGGAACACGTTGCTGCTGCAGAAATCATTGAGACACCTTCGAGTTCAATTATTGTTCATCGAGACGATGATTCTGCAGAAAGTTTTCGGAATTTGAAAGAAACAGAGGCTGATTTAACTTTTTCAGTACGATCTCAACCCTTTTTGCTGCTTAATTGTTTGTAAGTGAAGACGAAACTATGATACAAAATTAGGTTAATACTCAATAGGTTGTTCATTTAATATTAAAGTAAATACTAATTACCATTAACATTATAAGCACTGAAATATCTTAGTAATGGAAATTATTGATGATGCAGGAGGAAGATGAAGAAGGGTCAGGAATGATAATAGATCTTCGTGGCCATTCTGTGGAAATCGCAATTCTGCTTCTAAAAATTCAGCTTTCTCTTTGTTCACTGATTGGATGTAAGAATCATCATGATGCAATGCATCCATGCATAATACATATACAGATTTTCTGAATGTGTCTAATAGATTTATGATGTGCAGATGTGGGGAAAGTGACAGTTATCATCACCTGATCTGGGAGGTCAAACTGTAAACAGGGGGTATGAAACTATGAATTATGAAATTATATTTTCCTTTTAATTCATTAAAGAAATGATATATTATTATTTTAATTATTTAATGTTGTATGGTTGTAGGTTATATTTGACATTTTAGAAATAGAAAACATGGAATACAAAGACGATAACAAGACAACTCTTCAATGGCTTCTTCGAAAGATATTATAACTTTTTTTTTTTTTTTAATCTCCACATTCCTTTTGTGTGTGAATATGTGCTACTTGGAACCAGTTTTTTTATGAATATTTTTGAAGCTATGGTTTTGGTTTCTTATTTTAGTTTTCATTTTGCACACACATGACACAATATAGGTAATAATATAGGTGTTTTGGGCTTAATGATCTTCAAAACTGGATATATGTAATTTTGGATTGTGGATATTGGTATATGAATCTTTATCTTTATCAGATATCAGGAATCTTCACAAAAAAAAAAAAAAAAAAAAAAAAAAAAAAAAAAAAAAAAAAAGAAGGAAATCTCAATCGTATTTAGAACAATGAGTTTAATACATCTTTGACTATATAATAATCTTGAATACTTGATCGATTAACTTAAATATGCAAATCAATAATCATAAAATATCTATATAAACTCATTAGCCATTAATAATTAAAAATAAGTATAAATCAAGAAATAAATTTATTTTCTACTTTGATACATAACCCATAACCCATGGATAGCACCTAATTTTAATATTTATATGTTATCTTTTATTAAAAATAATTAGAATGTTTTATACATAATTATTAATTCAAAGTTAGTAACAATGATATTTTTTAATAATAATATATTCATCAATATTTTACTTACGTTCGCGCAACACACGGGCATTCGCCTAGTTACATTATTAAAAAGAGAAAAAGAAACAAGAATCATAAAATATCTATATAAACTTATAATCATAAAATATCTATATAACGATTAACTTATAATCATAAAATATCTATATAAACTCATTAGCCATTAATAATTAAAAATAAGTATAAATCAAGAAATAAATTTATTTCTTACTTTGATACATAACCCATAACCCATGGATAGCACCTAATTTTTAATAATAATATATTCATCAATATTTTACTTACGTTTGCGCAACATAGGGGTGAGCAAAAACCGAACCGACTAAAGAAAAACCGATAAAACTGCAATAAACCGCAACCGAAAAACCGAAACCGATGCAAAAACCAATGGTGCGGATTTAATTTTTGCAAAAACCGAAGGGCAACGGTGCGGTGCGGTTTCTATCCTAAAAACCGGTCCATCAAAACCGAACCGCACCGCAAGCGTGTATAGTAATAAATCAATCAATGTATATTATATACATTCTATTGAAAATAGTTATAAACGATAATATATGTATTATATGTTTATTTTGTGTTTGTATAAAACTATATGGGGTGTAAAAGAAATGTTCTATTGTTAGCCAAACGTACCAATCGATTACATGTAATAAGCTTGTAACAAATTAACTTAAAATCAACCAACCTTCAATCATTAATTAGTTTGTGAGAGTGGTCACAAGTTGTATTTTAAGCGACTTACAATTTTTGATTATGTAATTTTGTTTTGAGCTGAAAATGAATGTATTAAAAAAAACAGCACAATACAAGCTTATATGCACATGGTTTTCAGTTCTTACAGTTTTAAAAAACCGAACAAAAAAAGATAAAAAAAAAACTGCACCAAATTCTTAACACGGTTTAAAAACCAAAACCGCACCGATACAAACCGAAACCGCATTTAAAAACTGAAAAACCGAACCATTGCAAAACCGCACCCAACGGTTTTAAGAATGCAAAAACCGCACCATGCGGTTTGCGGTTCGGTTTGGTCTGAAAACCGCACCAAACCGCACCATACTCACCCTTAGCGCAACACACGGGCATTCGCCTAGTTACATTATTGAAAAGAGAAAAAGAAACAAAAATCATAAAATATCTATATAAACTTACAATCATAAAATATCTATATAACGATTAACTTATAATCATAAAATATCTATATAAACTCATTAGCCATTAATAATTAAAAATAAGTATAAATCAAGAAATAAATTTATTTTTTACTTTGATACATAACCCATAACCCATGGATAGCACCTAATTGTAATATTTATATGTTATCTTTTATTAAAAATAATTAGAATGTTTTATACATAATTATTAATTCAAAGTTAGTAACAATGATATTTTTTAATAATAATATATTCATCAATATTTTACTTACGTTTGCGCAACACACGGGCATTCACCTAGTTACATTATTAAAAAGAGAAAAAGAAACAAGAATCCAATTTAACAAGTATTACACTTAGTTCCCGTTTATGAGATTTAATACAAATGAAGGAAAATAAATAAAAATCCATCCATGCAATATGATCTTTAGTTATTTTTTAATCATTAGATTTTTCTTAGTGTTTTCTTTTAATTATTATGAATTATTTAAGCTATCATTGGTCATTGAATTTGTATTTTTTTTTTTTTTTCATTTTTAAGCTGAAGGAGATACCTACAACGACGAGGAGCGTGGTGGTGACATGGAGGAGAGAATGCATGTGGTAGAAGATGAGAGGAAGAGAGATTGTGTGTGTGTTCTTGATAGGATGGAGAACAACGTAACATGTTCTCCATGCTTCTTTGGGTCAAGTTCAATTACTAAACTACTCTTCTATAGCTTTAAATTGATCGGCCTTATAATCTATATAACAATATTCATGATCAATATGAATACAAGGCTATTATGTTACTTGTGAGATTTTATAAGCTCTAAATCTTATAAAATATTTAAAAGCTGAAAAGTTATTTCCTTTTAATATTATATGTATTAACAACTATGCAATTTAATTATCTTTGAATCATATTCTCCACAAGTTAACAAAACACAACAAAATGCATTTGGTTCGTAAAATGGTTGCATGTGACATTGCTACAATTTATTGTTAAAATTATGAAAGTTAATTCGTTTAAAGCAAAATACATACATCTTCACAAAATCATTGGACTTAAGTCAACACTATTACCCTGTTTCTGAGTTCAGCTTAATGAAAAAAGTGATGAAAATGAGAAGAAAATAAAACAAATTTATGTTCCCAAGTTTCATTAAAGGAAGGAAGTGGAGAGAAATTGAATGACCACTTTCCTTTCTAACTTTCCTTCCGATTTGGGAGGATTTGGAAAGAAAGAATAACATAATTAATTTTCCTTCCATTTCTTTCCAACTGGGGAACACAAAAAAAATTGTTTTCATTTCTTTTCTCTCACGATTTTCTTTTCTCTTATTTTCTTTTGTGTTGTTAAACTCGGGAACCAGACGTATGTGAAGTGTTGTTTATATTAATCCTTTACAAAATCGGAATTAAGGAAGGTTGTTAAAAATACCCTTCGGTTATTCAATTATGCTTTGGAAATGCAAGTTTTTTTTTTCTATATATAAAGTGGGAAGTGTAAAAGATGGTGGGTTAAAAGTAATTCAAGAAAGAGTTTGAGGACTGAAGTTGTCAAGTGAAATAGTAATTTGAAGAAATAAGAGTTCTTGTATGTGAGATGGAAAATACGCCTCAGTTCACATAACTCAATATGCAATTCTCACATTTTAGCGTTTTTTCTTTGATTTCTCCCTTTCGTTGTTCTTGCATTAAGATCAATCGTGTAGAAAGATGAGAACTGAATTGATTGAGAGAGAAAATTGAGAGAAGTGTTTTTCATCATCCATGAATAATAATATAATACATCAATATATACTGAATAGAAAAACATTTTGCAAAATGTAAGTTATTGTTCTTAAGGTCTAATAAAAGAATCTTTCTTATCTATGTGACATGTTCTCCATATGAATACAAAAGGTTATCAACATGAATACAAAATGTATGTTATTGTTCTTAAGGTCTATAACTTTTATTTGGTCGGCCTTATAATCTGCGTAACAATATTCGTTATCAATATGAATACAAAAGGTTATGGGGTATGTTACTTGTGAGATTTTATAGGCTCTAAATCTTATAAAATATTTAAAAACTAAAAAGTTATTTCCTATTAATATTATATGTATTAGCAGCTTTGCAATTCAATTAAATTTGAACCATATTCTCCACAAGTTAACAAAACACAACAAAATGCATTTGGTTCGTAAAATGGTTGTATGTGACATTGTTAAAATTATGAAAATTAATTCGTTAAAGCAAATTACATACATCTTCACAAAATCATTAGGTTCAAGTCAACACTATGTGAAGGGTTGTTTATGTTAATCCTTTATTTTTGGAAACCACGAAATTTTATTAAAACCACTGTCAATCAAGCACAGGGTCGGCCCAAGGGGTGTTCAAGGTGTGCTTAAGAACATGGCCTACTAACATCTAGGGTCCATTTTTTGTTTCAGATTTTATATTAGGGTATTTTCAGTTTTTTGGCCATGTACGATATATTAGCAGATAAAGGAAACGATGCAAGGGCAGCGAGAATTAGAAACTAAATGAGCTAGAATCATAAACGTTTGGGGAAAAGGAAAAAATGTTTTGGCTCTCGATAATGATGATTACGATTTAGGCATCAGGAAGATAAGAACAAGTTGACAATGGCTAACAGCGACAGTGTTCTACTCCACAATCCTCGATAATAAGAAGGATATAATTCAATCAAAGCATTCAGTTTATGCTTATTTCTTCTTAATTCATTGTTCATAAATCTTAAAAAATTAGTGATTCGGAATTCAGAGCCATGCTTCAAAAATCTAAAGCAAACTGAAATCAGAAGTGAGGTTCAAATTTCAGAATCTTGGATCAGGTCTAGGGACGAAAATCAAAAGGTCTTATACATTTTTTTTTATCTATCTTGTATATTTATAATGTTTATAAGTATTTATTTATTCTTTCTAATTATTGTTTTCTTGAACTCAGAAAATTGAAGAAATAATTAGCCCACTGATCTAACTTTGAGTTTTAGAAGTTTTTGATTTAAGATTTTCTTGAAGTGTAAAAAATCAAAGGTATTGTACATTTTTTTTTTATCAATTTGATGGATTGATACTTTTCTTATATTGTGTAGAAGTAAACTAAGATTTATTTTTTCATTCTTACTGTTTTATATTGTTTGGAATTCATAAGAATTAATGGAACAATCTGTCCATTTTCAATCCAGCTTTAAGGTTTAGAACTTTCTAATTTTAGATATGTTTGCATTGTTGAAAGTTAGAAGGTAAGTTCTTGTTTTTCTTTTCTGATTATAACATTCTGATTTCATTTGTTTTTTTATAGTTTTTTCAAAAGACAGAGGTGTTATAGTTTGCATTTGAGTTTTAATGATTAATATAATGATAGTTGTTTT